CGGACGCTGGCCTTTCGGGCCGTCGCCGAGACAGTTGCGACCGCAGGTTGTAGACGGCGCGGCGTGCAAGCCGGGGCGGAGCGGGGAGCGGGCGGCGCTGCCTTGTCCTGAGCGCGTTGCTTTGTGTCGAGGGGGGGGAGGGGGAGGGAGCGCCGGAGTGGGTAGGGGGCTCGCCCGCTGACTCCCGGGCGGGGGGAGGGAGGTCGTGGGCGTAGCAGGTGAGGAGCGCGGTTTTCATTTTGGAGGCAGCAGGATCCCTTCCCTCCTTCCCTTCTTTGAGTAGAAAGGAAGGGCGGAAAGAAATCTGGCTCCCAGAGTGCAGTCTCGAGTCCTCGACTCCGAGTATTGGAAATTCTTGGCCTCTACCTCGGACGCCCGTGCAGACTTCTCTGTGAATTGGGGCAGAGGAAAAGCGGCTTTGGGCTTCCTTTCTCTTCTTTAAGCAGGTATGCTAATCCTCACCTCGCTTTTTGTGAAAATCAGCAGGTGCCTTATCAAGGCCTGAGCCAAGCTCGAAGGTTAGAGCTCTGGCTCTAACCCACCGCAATGGGTGAGCTTGGGCCCTGGCACAGAGTCTGACTCAAGAGCTTCTTAATTTTAGGAAAATTAATCACAGGTCATTCTTTTTTTTTTTTAACTATTCTATTTGTTCTAATTAGTTATACATGACAGTATAATGCATTTTGACATGTTGTGTACAAATGGAGCACAACTTCTAATTCCTCTAGCTGTACATGGTGCAGAATCACTCCAGTAGCATAATCATACATGTATATAGGGTAATAACATCTGTCTCATCATCCCATCTTTCCCATCCCCACAACCCCACCTCTCCCCTCACTCACCTCTCCTCACAGGACGTTCCAATTCAAGAAGACCAATAAATTAGTGGAATAGATTGGCAAGTGACTTGGTGATCACTCTTCCCTCTATCCAAGGAATTAACCAACCATAGATTTAAAATATTAAAAACAACATTTGAGTCTACAGTGAACGTTTACCAGTTGGTGTGTTTAGGATCACTGACTTCAAAGAGGAAATTGGGCCTCCTGAGAAGTCAGTTCCCCAAATTTCATTAAAATCCATTCATCAGACTTTTTTTCAGAAAACTCACTTGAAATGCAGGTGCCCACCTGCAACTAACTGCAGTTTACCAATGGCACAGATGATTCAAAGTGAAATTGTGCCTACCAGCTCTGAGAAGTGGTCTGCTTCATGCTTCAACAGGGAGAACCCCAGTGTGCTCAATTAGAATAAAGTTAGTTCCTGCAAGTTGAAACTAATTGCACAAACTGCTTCAGTCCTGCACTTGCAAGCTGTTCTCAGCAACTGCATTGAAGGCACAGTTCAGGCCCAAAATATAAAGTTTGCTAGCAAGAGAGTCCTTAAGATCAACAGTTTTGAGGAGGTTTCCCTCCCTTAGTATACACTAAATAAAATAGTATATTGCTTATGAGGCATTTTCATTCTATTAGGCTTTATAATGGTCTAAAGTATTTAGGAGCATATGTACATGTCATATACAAGTACTACCATATGTATGAGGGACCTAAGACCTATGGATATTGGTATCTGCTGAGTGCTCCTAGAATAAATTCCCCACATACACTAAGGAACAACCTGGTATGCATGTCAGACACCTACATGGGTCAGTGACTCATTCCTGGTCAGGATTTTATGAAGAGCAATGAAATAGAAAAGCCTTTTTGTAGAACTCTCTCCTTTCTTTGGCTAGCAGATTACACACCAGGGCCAGTGACTGACCAAGTCCCTGAAGAAGAATGGCGGCTGTGGGCATCCTACTTGGGTAAGCATGCATTTTCAGGGCCCTCAGGACTTCTGCCATGGCACCTCTCACCAGGACAGGACAATGTTAAGCTGCTTGTCCTTGTCAGCTCATCAGTGCTGGGAGACATGTTCCCTCAACCATCCACTGTTGCCTTTTCCTGGTTGTGGGGCCAGAGCTGTTTCCACCATGGCCTGTAGCTCCTCAAGGACCCCTAGATGTGGATCACCAAGTGTTGCTGGCGTCTCTGGCAGCTGGGGAATTCTCTGTCATGACAACATTATGTCTGGCTTGCCTGACCATGTTGGTACTCTGCCCCAGCATTATCCACTGACCAGCTCTTTCATATTTGTCTGTAGCCTGCTCCAACGGAGTGCTATGAAGGCAGCTGCCCCTAGGCTCTGCTGCCTGCACACATCTTCCTGGCTGGCTGACAGCAGCAGGGCTGTGCTCACTCGCCTACATCGCCAGGCCTATGCACGCCTCTACCCAGTGCTGCTGGTCAAGCAGGACGGCTCCACCATCCACATCCGCTACAGAGAGCCACGGCGCATGCTGACAGTAAGCATCTATCACCAGGTGTTGCTAGGGGCTCTGATGGAGGCTGAACCATGGTGGTGGGACCTCTGGCCACTGAATGATGACAGGTGTAGTATGGTCATTGTAATGCACTACCAGAGGAGGGGGACAGGTTGCTGGAGGAGAGGAGGATGGTTTAGACCAGAATTCTCTCCATTTACCAGATAGGGTAAGTACGTCACTGTCTTTTAAAAACACCAAATCTGGGGAAGTGGAGCAGAAAAAAAAAAGTCTCCTAATAAAATGAAAGGTTAGTTGGATGCGGTGGTACAGGCTTGTAATCTCAGCATCTCAGGTAGCTGAGGCAGGATCACAAGTTTGAGGTCAGCCTGGGCAACTTTAGCAAGAGTGTCTCAAAAAGGGCAGGGGGTGTAGCTCGGTGGTATAGCGCGCGCGCACACACACACACACATACACACACAAAGAAAAACAAGATTTTAAGGGAGAAAAAACAATGTATAAAAATTGGACTGAGGCCAGGTAATGCACACCTGTATTTCCAGTGGCTTGGGAGGCTGAGATAGGAGGACAGCGAGTTCAGAGTCAGTCTCAGCAAAAGTGAGGTGCTAAGCAACTCAGTGAGACCCTGTTTCTAAATAAAATACAAAATAGGACCAGGGATGTGGTTCAGTGGTCGAGTGTCCCTGAATTTAATCCTTGGTACAAAAAAAAAAAAAAAAAAATTGGCCTCAGGATGTAGCTCATTGGAAATGCAATGGTCTAGCATGCACAAGGACCTAGGTTTGATTCTCAGCACTGAAAAAAATAATTAAGTTAGATTAGTGCAGAAGACATAGGCAACTGTAAGTCTCAGTGGCATTATCTCAGTAGTTCTGTTTCTCAGAACAAGGTATGGGGGCACACCTTGGCTTCTCTCCCACTCAGATGCCCTTAGACCTGGACACCCTGTCTCCTGAGGAGCGCCGGACCAGGTTCCGGAAACGAGAGGCTCAGCTCAGACACAAGGAGGAAGAACCAGAGTTTGCTGATGACTTTGACACAGAGCGTTACAGACAGTTTTGGATCAAGACTAAGAAGTGACAGTGGCTTGAAACTGCCTGAGGACAGTCTGAGGATGGAAGGACATCTTTCTGTAAATTGCATGTACCTGAAATCACCACCTCTTGTCAGTGTCTTCCTTTAGGTGTGTGCCCAGCATAATAGCTCATCACCTCTCACAGACTCAAGCTGGGTGTGGTGGCATAGGCCTGTCTGTAATCCAAGCAACTCAGGAGGCTAAGGCAGGAGGATGGCAAGTTTGATAGGCTGAGCAATTTAGCAAGACCTTGTCTCAAAGTTGGGAGTGTAGCTCAGTGGCAGAGTGCCTTTGAGTTCAATCCCCAGTACACACAACAGGGACATACACATAAAAGCTCAGAGCCGGATGGGGCTGTGGGGCTCAGAGCAGATTGGAGGGTTTGGGATAGGTTTAGGTGAAATCTGTGAGTTTTAGATAGAGCTACAAAGCCACGGAGCATGTGGGCAGCCAGGGAAGGAAGCATCCAGAAACCGCCAGCTGGGTGTTCTGAGAAACTCTCAGATCCCTTCTAGTCTCAGGAGGACTCAGGGCTGTTGCTCCAGCTGGGTGTTCTGGGAGGCAGAAACTTCTAGGTTGCAGCCTACAGCTGCCTCCCTTCACAGGTGCTCTCTAACACTAGGAGCAGGCACATCCCCAACCTAGGGGCCTCTGTCCCCTGAAGGGGAACCATGCAATGTCCAAAACCAGAATGTCTGCATTTTTGAGTTTGGTTACATACAGCCAAGGCCTGTGAACACATACCTTGTGTTCTGTACTCCTGATGTAGGTAAAATCTAACTCCCTCCAGATGCCAACGTGCATCAAGCAAGGAGGATACCAAAAAGGCTTGTGCCTGTCCTGGGTCATCGCAGGTCCTGGTTCTGCTCATCCTGTCCGTCTTGGATGCTCTCAGATCCTGATCCTGCTCAAGTCTGTACCTGGCTGTCTCAGGTTCTGCTCATCCTGTCCGTCTTGGATGCTCTCAGATCCTGATCCTGCTCAAGTCTGTACCTGGCTGTCTCAGGTTCTGCTCATCCTGTCCGTCTTGGATGCTCTCAGATCCTGATCCTGCTCAAGTCTGTACCTGGCTGTCTCAGGTTTCGGTTCTCATTGTGACTGGTGGCCACTCTTCATTGCTTAGGCTAATGGCTTTGGACTATAGCTGCCCAGCCACATACCCCCTGTCCCCTCTTGGCCACACATAGCACACGTACTGTGGTCAAACACTATAACTGAGCTTCCACATACACCTGGCCTGGCCCCAGAAGTGGGGCCCTCAGGAGTTGCCTACCTTCTTGAGAGTTCTTTCCTGGGAGCCTGCCAGATGACTTGTCTACACATTACTATGGCCCACGCTGCTGCCCAGTGCCCACTGCTTCCTGCTTGTCTCCCCTAAACTGCCCGTGCCACAAGCTTCTGCTCCCGTGGGATTCATGTATTCTTCAGAACCAGGACACAAGCTCAAGGGTTATCTCAGTGCCTCACTTGTTGCCCCTGTAGATGCTCAGTGCATATGTAGAGTAAATCCATTGGGGGTGGGGGTGGGTGGGTGAGGCTGTCTATTTGCGTTTATATCTGAAAGTACCAGGGACTGGGTAAGAAAAACCACAGGACCCTGGGTGTCTGTTTTTCCCTCACTGACCCTGTAGCTGGAGTGGCCCCCCAAACGGTGGCAGAGTAATTCCCACAAAGGAGTGGTCCTAAATTTCCCAAGATAGGGTTGGTTGGGATCTGTAAGAAAGAAGCACTAACTGCCAGGGTGATGGGTCCACAGCATTTATTAGGAAACTGGTTATAGAGGGCTGCAGTTTATCTTCACAAGGGGCAGCAAGAGGTGGGGATAGGACTGGGGCTATAGCTCAGTGGCAGAGTGCTTGCCTAGCACGTGAGAGACCGGGTTCCGTCAGCACCGCATAAAAAAAGTAAAGGCATGCTGTCCTTCAACTACAAAAAGTCGAGGCAGGATGTCTGCAACAGAGGGCACGCAGTGTTAGGGGAACTGCTTCAACCTGAGCCGCTTCCTTCAGGGTTTAGGCAACACCCTCAACACTGACGGAACATTGCGCCTGGGGTCCGTTCGGTCAGGGGCGCCCCCACGCACCGTGGGCGGGCTTGGGCGCAGACACTGCCGCCACTGGAGCTCTGGGACGCTCTGGGTCCTAGTGTAGTGTACACAGTGGCTTTCTTGATGACGGCTGTTGCACAGGCACTGAGTTCGGGTCCGTCCAGCCTCTACACAGGGCGCTCCGGGCCCGGAGGCCGTGAAGGCAGTGCGCAGGCGCGTGAGGCGAGAGGGCGAGAAAATTCGCAAGCAAGCGGAGCGGGATTGAGGCTGTGCGGAACTCAGGCTCAGTGAACGACGCAGTGGGCAGGCGCGCGTGGCCGAGTGGGCGTGGCGATTCTGCAAACTGGGACGAGATTCGTGGTAGGGCGAAGTGGAGGCGGCCCGGTGATGCATTGCGCAGGCGCATGCGGCGGCCGGGGCGTGACGTCACGGCGCGCGTCGGGATCGGCGGAGTAGTCCGGTCTGGTGTTCCTCGCTCGCTGGTGGCCTTGTGGTTGCCCCGCCGCCAGTCACCATGTTCGGCTCCAGCCGTGGCGGCGTACGCGGCGGACAGGACCAGTTCAACTGGGAGGACGTGAAGACCGACAAGCAGAGGGAGAACTACTTGGGCAACTCACTGATGGCACCCGTGGGCCGCTGGCAGAAGGGCCGCGACCTCACCTGGTACGCCAAGGATCGTGCACCGCGCGAGGGACCGAGCCGTGAGGAGGAGCTGGCGGCCGTGCGGGAGGCGGAGCGCGAGGCGCTCCTCGCCGCCCTGTGAGTGCGCGGGACTGGAGGGCGGGACTTAGCGGACCGGGGCGGAGCCGCGGGGAGCTGGGGCCTGGCTTGGCGGGGCGGGTCGCACCCCTGATTCCATCCCTGGCCCTCGTAGTGGCTACAAGAACGTGAGGAAACAGCCCACAGGCCTGAGCAAGGAGGTAAGCCGGGCGCAGGGCCCCGGGGGCCGGCGGGAGTCCGTCAGAGTCGGCCGAGCGCCTACCGTCCTCTCCGCACCTGCAGGACTTTGTGGAGATCTGCAAGCGGGAGGGAGGCGACCCCGAGGAGAAGGGTGTGGACCGGCTGCTGGGGCTGGGCAGCGCCAGGTGAGATGGGTTGGGAGGGGAGGGGGCGGGGCGGGAGTCCAGGGCCGTCCTTACCGCGCTGTCCCCACAGTGGTTCCGCCGGCCGCGTGGCACTGTCCCGGGAGGACAAGGAGGCTGCCAAGCTGGGGCTGTCGGTGTTCACGGTAACCCTCCCCCCCCACACACACCGCTTAGTGCTCTGGGAGCCAGGGGGTGCCACTGGGGAGAGCGTGGGGGTAGGCGGGCCAGGCCCCAACATCCCTGCCTGCCCTCCCCACGGCACTGCTTCCCCCGCAGCATCACCGCGTGGACAGCAGCAGCCCGGGCACCTGTCCAGCTTCCAGGAGGAGGCCGCGCACCGAGGAGGAGGCTGAGCCGAGGTAAGGCAAGGGGCCTGAGTCCCAGCAACTGGAGCTGCCTGTATCTCATGTGTCCCCTGGGGAGTGTTTGTGGGGCTGCAGTGCTCGCAGTTGGAGACAGAGCCCACTTCACAGCTGGTGGGGGCTTTTCCTGCATAGGCCAGGCATAGGCCAGGAGCCAGCAGCCCTTGAAGCTTCCCTGGGTTGGTCCCAGGCTGAACTCACAGGCCTGCCTGCCAGGAGGCCAGAGGAGCTTGGCAGAGATTGGCACACAGAGATTGGGGAGCCAAGTGGGTTGATGGGGAGGGCACAACTGTCACTTCAGAAAAGTGAATGTCCCACTTAGTTTAGTGGGAGATGCAGTGGCAGGACCTGAGATACCCACAGCAGGCACTGTCCTGCAGTGCTTTCTTTCCTAACAGGATGCTCCAGTCTATTGGCAGAATGTTACTGTCTAGTTCTTGAAATGTGGACCAGTGAATGAGGAGCCTCTTAGGCTCCTTTACTACTGTCATAGAGCCACAAGCCATGAGTAGGTGCTGGTTACCACAGTGCAGGAGCATGTGGATTGCTGGTGGGACTGCCCTGGCCCCTCAGCTGGCTGTCTCCTGTACCCCAATGCTAGGCCTTTCATTTTTTATATTTACTTTTAAGCACTGAGAGCCACAAGAAAAGCAAGAAGGAGAAGAAGAAAAAGAAAAAGAAAAAACATAAGAAACAGAAGATGAAGAAAGACAAGGAGTCCAAGAAAGAGGCTGATGCCTCTTCCTCATCCCCTTCTCCTGTTCGGTAAGCCCATAGTCAGCTTACTCTGCCTTGGGGATCCAGTGCTGGCTGGGGCCTGATGGAGTAGTCAGGAATTCCCGAGCAAGGCCCTGGGGCTCCTGGAATCTAACAGCTGGGTGCCCACCCAGGGTCCTTCCCCTGAATGTGTCTGGCTATCTTTGTTTCCTCAGATCTGGGCGCCAGAGGCATGATTCCGACTCCTCTTCCCCTTGCTGCAAGAGGAGGAAGCGGGGACATAGCAGGGACAGTGGAAGGAGCCCATCCTACAGACGTCAGGACCGAGGCTCTGATGCTTGAGACTGCAGCTGGGTCAATGGAGGCCAGAGCCTTGGACCCTGCCCACCACTGTACCTTGTGGGGCATGAGAGGACGACTGGACCCTATGTGTTCTGGGTGCCAGCTTGCTCCTCCCACCCTGTTGGCCCTTTGGACCACCCAGGGAAAGGCCTCCTGTCTGGGTTGAAGCAAAGGCTGTGTACTGTGCCTGCCGGGCCATGTGAGCTGGCTGGCCAACTCAAGAGGAACCTGCTTTGGGGAGACCCTCCAGATTCCTGTGAAGGGAGTCCATAGAACCCAACAGGTTCCGAGACAACCATCCCTGGTCTTGCCTGCTGCCAGACAAGATCTGCACCTGCCTAAGAGCCTCTTGCAGAGACTAGACTCCTGTGTAGCCATCCAGGCCCATCAGAGGCTTAGTTAAAACCATGTGTGGTTATCTCTATTCCTTTTTGTATGGACTCACTCTTTGTATTTTAATAAATACCTTAAAACACGAGTGTGTCATCAAGAATGAAAGTATAGTGTGGAGTTTCCTGAAACCCCACTAAAGGGAGACGGTGGCAATGGCCTTGCATTCACAGTATGGTCTTGGCCTAGCAGTAGTGTGGAGCTGCCTGACAGCTGGGTAGCTGATGACAAGGTCAGGTGGTGGGGATACCTAGAGCCTCTAGGTACCTCTTCAGCCTGCCCATGGGCTTAGCCTGCTACACTGACCTGGGGCAGAGCCCAGGCTGGATTTTTTTATGATGCTTACTTCTGCTGATTCTAAAAGAAACTTGAAAATGCTGGGTGTGGCCCAAGACAGATCCTGAAGCTGTCCTCTAGAGGTCTGGACTCTGACTTGTACACTGCCCTCAGCCCTGCACATGGATAGCCTGAGTGGAGGCTGCTATCTCTTATTCCAGGATATGAAGGTGAGTTCCATCTTCCAGGGCAGCCTCTTCTTGGGGACACTGTCCAGAGGGAGAGTAGACTTTGGACCTGCTTGCCAGCTGCTGAGAACTGAGGCGCTGAGGTGGCCAGGGCATTTGCTGACTCCTATTCTGGCTACCTCCTGTGGCACTGATAAGCTAGAGGATGCTTTCATGGTAGAAATGAGACTTCCAGAAGGCTTTCCCCTCTTACACATGGTCAGGCCTGACTTGGGGAGCAAAGTACCACCTGTACTTCCTGGCGTGAAAGCGACTCTTTCCTACCTTGCAGGAGACAGAAACATTGGAGCCCGTGAAATAGTTAAGAGACTTTATTCTAATAGCTATAATTACAGTGCTTGTCGAAATGAAAACTGAAAACAAGTATACAAAACAGTTGATTACTAATCGTGTATTGAAAGCATTAAGAGGTTCCACGACACCAAATAAACCAGTTCTGAGGTTTCCCCAAGATAAATTTAACAGCTCCAGCTTCTTCAGTGTTTATCAAAATACAAAAGAAAAAAGTAGAGGTCGTCTTTTTCGATGGCAAATCGGACCCTTGCAGGCTGAGGGAGGAAGCTACTTCACACATGGAGATGGGGGTGCTCCGGGACCTGTGGGTCTGGAGTGGACCAACCCTCCCAGCTTGCACGCACTCATGCTGGTGAGACCCAGACCTCCTGCCAGCGGGCTGAGCAGGTGCAAGAGTGAGTGGGTGCTGGGAACATGGGCTACTGCTCTGGCCACACGCCAACAAAGGGCGCATCTGGGCCGTGTCCCCTGCAATGGCTCTCCCAGCCCGCCCCCAGGTGACTGTGTGAGCACAAGTACAAGCACAACGCTATGGAATGCAAGTGACCCAAAGACAGGCGAGTCACGGGGTCTCTACTGGGACCATGCAGTGGATGGCGGTTTGTGTCACCGTCTTTGTGTTCCCACAGGGGAACAGCTGATCCGATGGACTAGCATTCAGGCTGTACACTAGGCATAGTCTCCCTTCTGTGTGTTCAAGTGTTCTCCTTATCTTGTATTTTTAACTATTTTAAAAAATGCACTGAGTTTGGGTTAAAAACCAACCACCAAATGGATCCCAACACCAATCTACCGCCCAGGAGCTCCTGGAGGCCAGGTGCCCACAAGCCTAAATCCCTCCTCAGTACTGACAGTGAGTTGATTCTCTTTTTACAATAAAAAAGCTGAGTAATATTGCATAGGAGTACCAGAAACTGCCTCAGTGGAAACAGAAACTATTTACATTAAATAAAAACCTGGCTGCAGGCTGCGTCTGCACATGTACAGCACGGTGCGATGCACACTGACCAACCCATGGAGACAGCTTCTGGCACTCAGGACCACAGAGTCGCACGTTTGCCACATGAGAGGAAAGCGAGGGCAGAGAGGAGAAAGTGAGGGGGTGGGGGGGTTCAGGTTCACTTCTGGTTCCGGAGCTGATTGGACAGCCAGTCCAGTCCTTCATAGAGCCCGTCCCCGCTGGTGGCACAGGTGGCCTGAATGTACCAGTTCCTGTGACGTAGCGAGTGCAGCCCCAGCTTGTCTGTGATTTCGGCTGCGTTCATGGCATTTGGGAGGTCCTGGGGGGAAGAAGGGGTCAGTGCAGAGCCTGAGCTTGGCACCAGGCCCACCCCCGCTCCTGGGTGGTACCCACCTGCTTGTTGGCAAACACCAGGAGGACAGCGTCCCGCAGCTCATCCTCAGCCAGCATCCTCATGAGCTCCTCGCGGGCCTCATTCACACGCTCTCTGTCATTGCTGTCCACCACAAAGATCAAGCCTGCAATGCAGCAGCATTACTGCAAATGTGGACAACAGCCCACCCAAGCGTACCCACAGGCAACAGATACAACCACAGGCTCACAGGCAGCCCTCACGGCCCTGGGCATGGCTTTTCTGGCCATGATTCTATAGCGTGCCTTCTGCCCTGTCCAACAAGGCTACAGAGCTTCTATTAGGAGGCAGATGACAGGAACCTGGGGTGAAGGTCAGCTGCTCACCTTGGGTGTTCTGGAAGTAGTGGCGCCATAGTGGCCGGATCTTGTCTTGGCCACCCACATCCCACACAGTGAAGCTGATATTCTTGTACTCAACGGTTTCCACATTAAAACCTGAGGGTGAGATTGTAGCTTAGGGTCCCCTGGACCCATCAACCTGTCCCTGGCCTCCCGAGCCTCCCCAGCCCCTGCCACACAGCCCATTCAGAAATCTCACCTATGGTAGGAATAGTGGTCACAATTTCACCCAGCTTCAGTTTGTAGAGAATCGTCGTCTTCCCTGCAGCATCCAGGCCCACCATGAGGATGCGCATTTCTTTTTTGCCAAAAAGGCCCTTGAAGAGGTTTGCAAAGATATTCCCCATCCTTGTGGGTGGTTGGAAGCGACACTGGCCAGAGACCTGGGGAGGCAAGGTGTCGGGGCCTGTTTCCATGTTGCAGTGGACAGAAACCTCCCGCCCAGGCACATGTTCCTCCTGAAATCCCATGGGGGTATGACAAGAGCCCAACAAGGCCTAGCCTAGCTGGTGGCCCAGGAAGGCAGAGATGCCAGAGTGACCTCTTGCCTCCCAGCACATTTATTTGGCCTGATACCATCAGGCTGCAGGGACATTTGACACAGCCACACTTGCTCCTACTTGTGGAGTAGGCAAGCAAACATCTGAAAATTGGGTTTTCAGAAGCATGAAATATTGCTACAAAGACAGCTCTTAGGGGCTAGAACCACTCAACATCCCTCCCCACCCAACTAGAGAGGAGGGGCTAGGAGGCCCCTCCAGAGGGTTAGAGAGCAGGTGTCACTAGTCTCAGGACCACAGGCCAAACCTCCCCAACACACCCAGGAGCTCAATGTGCTGCCTCAGCACAACACAGGACAAGCCAGGGAGCACTGTGGTGTCACCTGAGCCAGTCAAGCAGGCTCTCTGCCAGCTCAGGTCTCAGCATCACCTTTCATTCCAGATGACCCAGGTAGCCAGGGCCCTGAGGAGCACATGGTTCCGTGATGCCATGCTGCCACAAGGGCTTGTATGTCAACCCACACTACAACTACAGGATCCAGAAAAGAAACGCAGGAGACACCAAGCAAATCATTTGTTACCAAATCACCAGAGCCTGGTCCAAGACTTGAAGTGCCTCTGGGAAGGTGATGAAAACTGCCCAGGCTCTAGCCTTACCATCCAGGGCACTTTCATTTTTCAGTTGTTTTTAGTCAAAACAGAAATTTATCATTTTTTAAAAATGTTGATTGCTGAAGGCCTTCAACTGGGGGCTGTGCAGCCCTTACCAACCAACAGGAGGGCAAAGCAGCTCGGCGAGATAGGGTAATTAGATGGCTACAAAAGAACATCCCCACACAGGGCAGCTCATCAACGTGTGTTTACTGCTTACAGCTCCAGAGCTGGAAGTCCAGAGTCAAGGCCTGGCAGGTTCCATATCTGGTTCTAAGATGGAGCTTTGTCCTACATCCTCCAGAGGGTAGAGGCACAGGAGAGAATCCACCCCTGAAAGCCCCTTTCAAGGCATCACTGATTCATTCACCAGGTCAGAGCCTTGTGACTTGAATACTTGCCTGCTACTGTTGCACTGGGGTTCAACCTCCCACACTCAAATCTTGGGGGACACATTTAGTCCACAGCACTGTGTGTCAATCAGGAACAACAGAAGTGGGAGAGATCACCTGCAATTAACTGCACCACCAAGTCACCTCAGATGGCTGTCTTCCTAGCACCCACCTGTGGATCTCCACTGCCCATCCATCTCCAGTGACCCTGTGTACCCAGAAGCATTCTGGGAGATTCCACCCCTCACTATACCTTCTCCTCCTCCAGGTTCAGAGCCCCCCGATGACGCCCAGCTGCAAGGGTATGTATGCCTTACAGTTGGGATGACAGTCAAACGTTACTTTCTTTCTAACTTCCTCACCTGCGGTGTAGTACTCACTTCAGGGACCCCTTCCCTTCTCCATTTCTTGGTACTGCTCAGTGGGCACCTGTCTTGCTCAGGGGGTTAGACCCAGCAGCCCTGCTGATTTGATATCACCATTGTTCCATATATAGCCTCTGGAGCCCTTTCATGCTGGATCCTATGCCTTGGGACAGTTTCCCTTTTTGGATTTGCACATTTCGTATTAAAAACTTACTCAATGTCTACAATGTAAGCAGACTTTGCTAGTGGTCCCTTTTCTGGGATAGCTAAGCTCCCTGGGTAAAGAGCCTTTGGGAGACAGAGCAGACAAGCACCACCCTACCCCTCAGAGCACTCCTGAAATCACTGCCCATAGGGCAGTAAAATCTCAAGAGAGGGGGGAGAGAGAGAGAGGGGGAGAGAGAG